TACTACTCTACTTACACAAGTGGTACAAAAGACGTCACGTGCCTTAGAAATACCACACCACCGCCTGGACCTTTTTATTCAGGCATTCATCAATCTCCACATCAATAAACAGATGCCTCTAGGACTAATTATCGAAGATACTCTGGCACCCTTTGAGGAAGACAAAAATAGATATAAATACACCCCCATGATTCACCATAACATCATAACCACAATTCACAAAGAACTATGGCTTACTTCTAGAATGATAAAACATGATTCTGCCTTTCCACCCCATCTCATTACCACCTCTGGTACTACTCAAAACTATACCACCTACTTCTTCGCTTCTACAAGAAAAAATATACAAACTTATCAAATATGGACAATCTTCTCTTCATTATATTATCAAAGACTAGAGGTCTACGACCATTCTAGCAAAGAATAAGTTGAGAGTAAAGTAGCTCTTACTTCTATCTCCCGTAGCATAGTTTTTTTTCTCATGTATCTAATATATGTATAATTAACTATTAATAAAAGAGATAGAGAATAGACCTCTCTTTAAAAAAAAAATAATAATAATATATCCTATACATATTCTATATATATCTGGTATACAAATATATACAGAATATATATAAAATATATATCTAACTATAAATATTAAATATCAGATAGATAATAGATAAGTATCTAACAAATATTAATAAAAATCTGTTATATATCTAATACCTATTATATATATATCATATATCTATTAGATATTCAATATATATAAAATTGATGCAGGATATTATACACATATTCTACACATATCATATATATTATATATATATTTTATATTTATAAATTATTTATATAATAAATAAAAATACTCTAGAACTATATTGGTACTAAGTAAACAGAGTTGTTAATAGCTTGAATGGCTTGGCTTAGCTTTTAAAAACTGTCTCCAGTTTGAACTATAGCTATTAAAGCCATGGCTCAAGTCATAGTTTGAGCCATAGCTTAAGCCATAGCTCAAGTTATGGCTCTAGTAACTATTACTAGAAATATGATTCTGATATGTAGCAATAAATGCATAATATTTTATTTAATTAATATCCATAATTAACATATAGAATGGAGCTATACATATAAAGATGCAAAGAATATTTTAATATTATTTTTTTATGAACAGGTATCGATAAATTATATTTGTAGTGATGAGGGTTTATTAATATATCGAGTGCAAATGCTAATTTCACTAAAATAAAATAGTTTTTGCTAATCTTTTATATTGTGTAGTTTGTAAAAATAAATATATCGTTCTTATAAAATTATTAATCGAGTTAAAAATATTGGTTGGGTTAAAAATATTGTTTGAGTTAAAAATATTGGTTGAGTTAAAAATATTGTAAAATTAAAAATGTTGTTAAAAATATTGTTTAAGTTATTAATTGAGTTAAATTTATTAGTTTATTAAGTGAGTTAAAATTATGAATCTAAATTTATATAAATGTAGCAAATGTAAAATAGTAAAGCATTAAGTCAAAAATGTCAAATATTGATCTCAATGATATAGGTTCTTACGATCCTGAAAGTTTTGATTATGATAGCACTAACGCCTCAACATCTCAAATATCTAAAAGTATAGATAGCAATAGAAAGTCGATTGTGTGGGATTTTATGCATGAAAAAACAAATACAACTAGAGCTGCTATAGTAGAATATGATGAGTGTTCACAAGAATATAGTATAAAAACATCAAAAGGGGTTTTAGCCAAACATTTAAATAAAAAATATAATTGTAGTATTACTTTGAAACCAAGAAGATTTTTAGTTCAAAAACCTTATAGTAAAGATGATACTACACGTATAAAAAATGTAAAAGTTCCATATTAGATTTCTTTGTTAGTGATCAAATTCTATTCAATACTGCAGAAAGCAGGTGGTTTCGTAAGATGATAAGTACACTTGATCCAAGGTATTAAAAATATTAATTTATTACCACTCTTTTCGATTTAGTTAGATCATCGATTCAACTAAATCAAAAAATACAATAAATTTTATTAGATAAACTTTTTTTAGATTTTAATATCTATTTTTGTTCTATGTTTTTTCTTTTAATTAGGTATATCTCACCAAGTCAGCAACATATAAAAGACAGAGTAATGTTACAATATGAGATTTAAAAATCACTTGTTGTTGAAAAACTTAAAACTTAAATACAAAAGTAGTACTTACTGCAAATATTTGGACCTCTTTAGCAAATCAGGCTTATCTTGATATCACAATTCACTTTATTAATAATAAATAGAATATAAACCGATACTTACTTGATCTAATTTATTTTGAATCCAACCATATTGGAGCACGTACAAAAGACAAACTAATTAATCTTTGTAATAATATGAATACAGTCAAACCCCTCTATAGTCACACCTTCGGGATACAAAAAACTGTGATTGTAAAGAGGTGTGACTAATATAGAGGTGTTTTTCTATATAGTTATAAATAATTGGTAAAAATAAATTAGTAATTATACTAATTTTGTGACTATAGAAGAGGTGACTATAGAGGGTTTGACTGTATTAGTGATAAAGTTATAGCATTAACTACGGACTACTATTTAGCAATGATTTTATGTGGAGATCTATTAAAAAAAGAGTGGGGTGAATTTGGGTTTAGTCATTATAGATGTGTGGCACATATTTTAAATATTGCAATTAGTCACAAAATGCAACTAGAAACTGCAATAATTGAAAAGATTCAAAATTTCATAAATACAGTTTAACATTTAACAATTTTGTGTAATGATCTTTGATATTTTTGTATCTTAAATAGGTAATCATATTATCTTTAAAAAAATTACTAGATACAGCTATAATATAAGCTACATAGTAATATTAATTATTTAATTTCTATATTAAATGACCATAATATTTATATTTTTAATAGAAAAATGTTTCATATACTCAAAATTGATGTGGTTACTCATTGAAACAGTACCTATGAAATGTTTCATAGGTTTAAACTTATATGTTCTGAGATTGATCTTCTTGTGACAGCACACAAAAATCAGCTTAATCACACTTACTCTAGTAATAATGAGTAGGAACAAATTAATACTATGATTGATCTTCTTCATTCAGTTCTTGAAGCAACAGAATATCTTTCAGGTAGCTCATATCCAATGATCTCTAATGTTCATTTGACTGTTAGCAGACTTATTCAGCAATTTGATCATTTTATTGATGATAGGTCACATTTGGATGAAGAGTATATATTTGCAGACTTTATACATTACAAATTAAATAAATACTGGTCTCTTCTTGATGAAAAAATTATAGTAGCTGCAATTCTTGACCCGTCATCAAAAATTAAAACATTTTTACCTAGAAAAAAAAGAACTGTAGCTATTACCAGTTTGCGTCAAGAAATACTTTGTTATAAGCCATTAACCTCAGTAGAAAATATCAACTTGATTGTCTCTAAAAATAAAAAAGCATATTTTAAATCCTTTTTTTTAGAAGAACAAGAAACTAAACAACTACTAGAAGAAGAATTAGATTTATACTTATCTTTGCCTACATGCCAAACTAATCTGTTTAGTTGATGAGAACAAAATGAGTATAAATTTTCAACTTTAGTAGTCATGACGCAAAACTATTTAGCTATTCAGAGAATAAGTATTCTCTGTGAAGAAGCTTTTTCTGTAGTGGTGAAAACAATTACAAAAGTTTGTAGTTGTCTTCTTTCTGAAACTGCTTAGGCATTGCTTTGTTTGAAAAGCTGGATGAAACAAAATATTGGAATATAGATAGAAAAAGCTATTACAAATTTAGTAATGATTGATAAAGTTTTAAATTATAAAGGTAGATAGCAATATTAGCATTAGTATATGAGTGCATGAGAGTGAAAACCTGAAAACGATTATAGTAAATTATTAAATCAGCTTTCAGGTTTTTATTCTCACATACTCATATATATAATTATCAGTGTTAGTATTATATATTGATATATATAGTATAGAACAATTGTACAAAATTTGAAATGCATATGTACGTATCTAAAATAGATCCAAAAAGCTATGTATTTTACCTTTTTTAGCAGTTCTAGTGATGCAGTATTGTAATATATACTAAATAAAGCTTTTTTTATTACTATATAAGACAAATATAGTAATATCAATGAAAAAAGTCTGAACCCACTAAAATGATACTGATAAATTTTAAAAAATTTGATAGTTGAATAGCATCATTCAGACTTGCATTCAATATGTCGAATGATAAGTTATTCAATATACAGTCATCCCTCTTTATAATCACACAGTTGGGACCATAGTAATTTTTTTTTAAAACAAGTATTTATAAAGAGGTATGCTTATATAGAGGTTTTTTTATATATATTAAATAGTAATTGGGCTCAAATAGAGGTGTGGTTATAAAAAAGTTTTTATATGAAGTGATTATATAGGAGGTGATTATAAAGAAGAAAGACTTTATCAAATAATATGTCATATGGCTTCTGTGGCTTCACAAACATTAATATTCATGAAGCCACAGAAGCCACATAACATATTATTTAATACAGTGCTTGACAAAAGTTTCACTACATCTGTAATTTCTGAAATTTCTTGCATAGAAGCTTGAAATTTCATACAGGCAAGGGACATTAAGTATACAGATCATACTAAACTTCTTCGAGCACTATATATAGTAAAAATGCCCACACTGCTTATATGCCAAGTTTAAATCAAAAAATACCTCTTTCTTTGTATAAGCGATATGAAATCGCCTTTTTAACCAGCCACCTGAAGGGCCCCAAGCTCTCATTTTGTAAGACAGTAAAGCAGGTTCGCTATGATGAAAAAACAGTGAGAGAATAGGCAAAAAGGTGGCAAGAAAGCAAAGACTTAAGTGACAAACCAAGGTTGGGTCGTTAAAGAGCTACTACGCAAAGACAAGACAACTGGATTTTGAAGCTGGCAAAAGAGAACGTAGATATTTCAGCACCAGAAATCTGCCGGTTGTTTCTTAAACAAAACGTAGACATTCACATGCGTACTATTCAACAGTGCCTTGGTGAAGGTGGGGCTCACTATTACGGAAAACTCACGAAGCCGTTGTTCAGAGAGAAGCATCAGAAAAAATAGCTCTTGTGGGCGAAGAAACATAAGGATTTTGATTAGGACACCGTGATATTTACGGATGAAAGTACGTTCTGCTTGAATCAATGGTTAAAAAAGGCTTGGCAGTTCATCAGGCAAAGAAAATAATCCATTCTGTCAAGCATCTGTTGAAGGTTCACGTATAGGGTGTTTTTCTTCTTCGGGCTTTGGAAGGTTAGTCTGCTTTACACAAAACCTTAATGCGCAATATATAATCATCCTGTATGAAATGACCCTTCTACCTTCTGCCATGGACCTTTTTGGTGAAGGTTGTGATAGTTGGATTCTGCAGAAGGACAATGACCTGAAGCACCATTCAAAAATCGCAAAGGCATGGAAGGAAGAAAATGATGTCGCAGTTCTCCTCTAGCCGTCGATATCATCTGACCCAAACCTGATTGAGAATATCTGAGGACTTATGAAAATGAACCTGGCAAAAAAAAAATTAGAAAGCTTAGTACTCTAAAGACGCAGATAACCAAAGAATGGAATCAATTGCCTAAAGAGTACACGACTAATTTGGTAAGAAGCATGAGGTGTTGTGTGGAGGCCCTAATTGAATCTGAGGATAATTATACTATGTATTAATTTTCATGTAATTTAATGTTTTTTTAAATAAAAAAAAATTTTTTCTCTACCATATTTTTGTGTTGAGTTATGGGTGCAGGGAAACTTTTGTCGGGCACTGTATATTGAATAACTTATCATTCGACATATTGAATACAAATCTGAATGATGCTATTTAACTGTCAAATTTTTTAAAATTTACTAATGTGAACCTTATGTTAATATGCATTATAATATATATATACATACGTATATACGTACTAGAGTTGCTGGTGAAACTGGTAAAACTTGGTGAAATTTGGTGAAACTAGTAACTATCTAAAATCTGATTGGCTATTAAATGCAATAGCCAATCAGATTTTAGATAGTCACCAGTTTCACCAGTATGATTTAGTTTCACCTGCAGCTCTAATACGTATGTACTTAGTAAGCTGCAGCTCAAGCTAAGCTATAGCTAAGCTGTGGCTCTAAGCTATAGCTCTAAGCTATAGCTCAAGCCACAGCTTAAGCTACAGCTTTAAAATAAAGCTCAATCATGTTTTAAGCTGTAGCTTATCAGCTTGGAGTGGCTCGGCTCTATTATGCAGCTGAAGCTGGTTTCAAATAAGCTATTAACAACTCTATTAGTAAACTAGTAAGGTTAATTAAGACAACATTGTTTTTTAGACTTAGATAATTTTACAGGTGGTAAAATTATTAAAAATAGCCTAGTTTAAAATAATTAATTAAATTATATGATTTATATAAACAATTATTATAAAACTTTAAGAAACTATAAAAAAGGATTTACTAAGCTGTTTTTAATGATTTTATCATTTTAGAACTACTTTAATCTGAAGAATAAAATTGTCTTAATTGATTTTGCCAATTTACTTAGTATAAAATATAGTTCTGGAACAGTTTTTTATTTATTTTTATATTTTTAAAGTTGAATAAAAAGTGCTCTATAACAAGGTTTGATACTAAGTAAACTAACAAGGTTAATTAAGACAACTTTGTTTTCCAGATCTAGACAGTGATAAGATCATTAAAAATAGTTTAATAGATCTTTTTTTATAACTTCTTAAAGGTTTATAACAATTGTCTAAATTATATAATTTATATAAATAATTGTTATAAAACTTTGAGAAACTATAGAAAGAGATCTACTAGACTGTTTTTAATAATCTTAACATCTTTAAAACTATTTTGGTCTAAAAAACAAAATTATCTTAATTAACCTTGCTAGTTTACTTAGTACAAAATATAATTCTGAAGCAATTTTTTAATTTTTTAAATTTTTTTTGATTTTGTTTTTAAAAACTTCTAATAAGGAGGCTTTCAGAAATTATATAATTTTGGGGTGGATGGGTGGGGTTCTCAAAATTTCAGGTTATAATTCTGGTCAAAATTTTATAATTTTGGCCAAAAGTATAAAATTATAAAATTATTAATAATTTTAGATTTACTAAGTATAAAATAATTAATAACTTTAGATC